ATGCCACTAACACACCTCAATTTTGCCTGAAAAAACAATTAAGCATAGCAATCATCTATACAATGCTGGATTATCTACGAGCTTTCGCAAGCTTGCAGTCTCGTGCCGGCAATTTCACGAGCAAATGATCTGCGATGCACGGTTCTTGGACAACAAAATTCCACGCAACTCTGCGATACTTCCCGATCTTCTCCCAATGCCTACGCCACACAAATGTAAAAGAGACGAGGAATTTACACTGAGCTTACGAACTGCCTAACGGATCCTGCCGCACGGTGTAGTTGAGCCTTCCCAGCGTGTGAAGCAAACCTGGTTTCGACCGACAGCGTGTGAAGCAAAACTGGTTTCGACCGACAGCGTGCCGTGCTTGGAATCGCTGCTCGGGACGGCCAGCGCCTGAAGTGCGTGGGTCCGACGGCCGCCCCGCGTCAGCCTGCTCACACAGCCCCGGCTTGCCACCCGAGCCGCGTCCTGGACATCGACCGAGCGCTTCGGATTCGCACGCGCTCCAACAGGGGGTGACCTTCGCGATGTCGTCATTTACGGAGCGAAAGTACGCACATGTCGGGCGAGGGCGGGTAGTTATTCTGCAAATGATACCCAATTTCTTCAATGAAATGGGAAGAATGCGCGCGTCGCCCCGGCCGTGATATCCCGCGTCTTGTCTCATGTTCACATCGCTTACAGCTGAACCATAACTGACTGCAAATGGGTGTATTAGCGGAAAATGCTCCTAAGGCGGTCAGCTTACGGCTGATAGCCATGACTCGACCTGCTTCTCTCTGAAGACATGCACGGGGCAGGCTGCGGTGCGGCCGTTCATGGACGGCAATAACTGTCGCAGTCATATTACGAAAGACTGGGTCATATGCCTGAATATTCGCTGTTCCCAGTTCCACGCGGTCAATATTCATGTGACGCGATAACTTTCCAAGCCGCTAAACCACAATACTCGTACACAAAGTAAACAACATTTTTCCATTTACATCATTTCTATTCCTACGCAAAACAGAAATTTCTCCTCACCGATAGATAAATGCACTATGATGATGATGACGAAGATACTTTGGGATTTAGGGCGCGCCGTCCTGATCAGATAGATGCACAGGCGAAGCTGCGAAGAGGCGAAATAATCTCTCAAACGCTAAGTGGCCGACGGCCGCCTGAGGCCTGGCAGCGAGAGGACTACGCCGAGAAGGCAGGCCTCGGCTGAGAGGTCAGGTTCCCTATCGGGCGCCATATCCCCAGCCGGCAGCCATCGGCTCGGGGCGTTCTCTCGGTCTCGCGCGTCCTCTGGTGGGTGTCCCACCCGCGCCGCCGGCCGGCGCGAAGGCCGCCGAGCCGGGTCAGCGCGCGGTGACCTCGGCCGGCGCGACCGACCGCCGACCGATCCCACTATCGGCCGCCGATCGGAAAAAACAGACGCGGCGACGGGCCGGCCGTCGCCGGGCTCCAGACGGTGCCCTCCTCTGCCCCGGTCAGGCCACGTCGCCGGGCGATGGTGTTGCTCGACATCACAGAGGCGGCGGCCTAAGTCGCCCTCCGCCCGCCGCGCCAGCCCGACTTTCCCACGCTCCGCGTCAGCCGGAAGTTGACTCGAAGCCGCTCCAGAGCCAGAGTGGCCCACACGCATCAGCCTGCCGGCTGGAGCGCGCGCAAATAACACGCGCGTCACGCGCCGACCTCGGCAGGAGCCGCGGCCACCTGCGCCGGCATTGTGCAGAGCCAGTGCGGCTCGCTCCGACTGCGCCGCGTGGCGATCGGTAATTGGCGTCTGAGCTCGCCCCAACCGCCGCTGAATCACGCGGCGCGCTGACACCGGCGTGCCCTGCATAACCGGGCGGCCAATGAGCTACCCGAGGCCGCAACGCCCGACAGCCGTTTAGACCGACACGCTAACTGGAGCCGAGCAGGCGAGCTCCCCAGTTGGTGACCAGCTTCGTGACGCCGCCGCACACCAGCGCCCGGCGCCACTGTCGCAACACTCCAGCCCCTGATCGCAGCGTCGTTCTCGATAACCGAGGCCGGAGCGTTCGACCGCCGCTTGCGATCAGCGGCCGGCGCCTATCGCGTCCGTTTACGATCGACAGCAGGTCGGGAAGCGGCAGGCCCATCCCATTCGCCGGCCGGCAGTCGTGCCGGCGATAAACCCGCCCGGCTCGGCAGCCGGCCGACGCGCTGGCTCGGCCCGGTTCCGCAACAGATCCGGCGTCAGCCCTGCCGCTGATACGGCGCCAGCCGCATCGCTGGTCGGGTTGCGATGCTGACTGCGCGGCCGGGCCGTGGCCGCGGGACCGCGGACGACGGCGGCGCGACGCGATCCTACACAACGGTGGCAGGGTCAGGCCGGTCTGCGGGCCTCACATTTACGCGCCACCCCACGGACGAGACACCGACCTCGCTCCCTGTCTGGCACATGCAGGGGACCACCGGAGACCACGGCTTCTCGGCTATGAAGGACGGAGTGGTCAGCCGTAACGCCCCCGTGACGTGCAGGGGACTGTTCAGGCCACGCACGCCTGCTCGGCGGCGCCGGCGACCCCGCTCCGGCAGAGGCGCCTCCGTCCGGCGCCACGTTCCCACCACCGACGTTGCGAGCGAGCCCGGTCAGCGGTCGCCCCACGGGAGCCGGGCCTGACACAGGGGCCAGACCTGTGCCATCGGCACTTCGCGAGACGATGCACCACTGCATTGCTAGCGCCTGCCTGCTCGGCAATCAGAGTGAATGGTACCAAACACCCCCGCCCCGTCCACAAGCAGGCGGCCCATCACGGCCACCTGCTTCGGTAGCAAACGTCGATCGGTCTCGTGTCTTATTCGCATCACAACCTTGGACGCCACCTATAGTCAAGGCTCAGCTCCCTGTGCCCGCTACCGTCCAGGCGGCGGGTCTGCCGAGGGCAGAGCAGCCACCACATTGCAAACCCGTGGATTTCCACCGGAGGACGCACGATCAGTTATCGCCCACGCTGAGGGACTGATGTGTCCAGCTTTTTCACCTTAACATCCACTGCTACTGCTTGCGACATTTATGACATTGTACCCAACAAAAACCCGTAGAATGCATGCTGCAGAAAGCAAAACATCGGTTCGATGGCACAAAAAAACAATTACGTGCTTGGAGACTCGTTGAGATACGTTCGACGGCCGGCTTCTGCAGCCGCCGCACGTGCCATGGGTGGCATGTGACACAGGCGTACCAGCGCGCACGGCGCTGTGTCACAGCAGCAGTGAAACGAGTACCGCAGGGTGACGAGTGGGCAGCTGGAGCACTAACGACCCTATACCAATGCTACGGTGCCAACGTTTCAGGTACCTCACTGGCATGGCGGCTGTATGATGATGCTTACTGTTTCTGCACCAATGGATTATCAGCAGCATTACCACTGATTACATTACATTACATTACATAACCACTCGGTTACATTACATACATTACATTACATTACATTACATAACCACTCGGTTAGCACGGAAAACATAGTATTTGCCACCAAAAGCTACACACAGCGAGAGAAAGTCGGGCCAGACTTCGACGAACCGCGTCGCAGTAAATGTGACCAACGCATGTTGACGGAGGACAGAACAGACGATCGCACCGGCACAAGTGTGCGCAGATGTTGACAGCCGGTGACTACAACTCGGCGCAAATCATCAGTCATCCCGTTTTAGGGTGAAATTAACTAACTGCACGCAGTAGGCAGACGTGCAATTTAAAAATGACAAAACAGTGTCCACACTAACCTGCCCTAAAGTCCTAAAATCCGTCTGAAAATGCGCCCTTGGTCCACACTGAGAACGGCTGCACTACGAAATCGCGGAGACGTCCAGTCCAGTTCACTGTGGCCAAAATCCGCCGAAAATATCGTGTTTCCTCGTATGGCTCTGGTTGTAGGCACTCAAAATGAGCGTTGCTTCAAATTAATTCACTGAAATTCAATTCTGAAGCCATTTGGGGGCTGAGACATCGCTTTTATGCAACGTAGGTAAGCGACGCACTTAATGAATCACCACGGGAGTACTGCATCAGTGCGCATCTGCATCTTGAACTCCAGTCAGCCTCACCAGCGTATCGATCAAAGCCATTCGCACGGGTTCCCGGCGAAGCCCGATTCCGAAAGACCAACTTTTTATCCCCTACATGAAGATAGATATCTCCTACATCTCTTCCACCTGTCATCCCCCCATTCGCCCCACGCCGCACGAACCGTTCGAGGGGTTGCGGTCAGGCCGCGTAGTAGGCCATGAATCTTTTACGAAATGTAAGAGGGGGACTGGGGGTCTATATGAGCGGTCAAACCCAGCCGACCCGGCGCTACCTGGCAGGCTAACAGCTTTGCAACCCACCGGTGTGCACGGATGGCGTTTGGGTTGAGAGATAAAAATATACGTTAAAAATCCCTCTTTCTGTTGATTGGCTAATGAGCTAAGTACGATGCGCAATTTTTCGACACAAAAAAAGAATTATTCCAATCAAGCGAGAGCCTCTGGGTTAACCGAGCAACTTAGGAAAACACCAGCATTGAGGAGGCTCAGAAGCTGCTGCCAGTACAAGTACAGGCCAGGTGAATGTGCTACGGCGTCGCTGAAGCAGGGGGGATACGATCCACGGCCCAACTACTTTGTTATTCAAATTGTCACGAGGAAATTATTGCAACATGGAAGTCATTGCATTCTCGCGCCGATCATGTCACGATATTATGCATTATGGATTTGGGTATGCCTCTCGCACGCTATGCGTTGTGAGTCAACACACTGGTGCATAGGTTTCAGATACAGATAGATACATAGAAGCGCTGCACACACCACACAGATCCACGGGGCGCTCCAGGAGTCCGCCGTCTCTCCACCCCCGTCACGCCCGCCCATGTAGGTCGGTGTTCGTCACCATGGTGACGAGCGAGCCCCGCGCCGCTTCCGCCGCTACCGATCATCGGTCTTGCCCCTCCCGCCCCCCCCCCCCCCCCAACCGCCGCGGAGGTAGGTGGCACCTCACTGACCTGATGAGCTCGGCGCTGCCTGTCTGCTCGGCCGTCCAGTACGGCCGGGCCGTCAGCCGGTCCACGTTGTAGAGTGAGCGCTGCACGGCACTGAGCAGCAGGCCTCGGCGCACGCCCTCCTCATACGTCTGCCGGCCGCGCGCCACGCGGTGTTACCACAGGGCACGGACACGACCGGAACTGGCTCACTGTCCGGCCACTCACATGAGCCAGGCAGGACGCCAGTCTGGCACCCGACAGGCAGAGTGGGACTGGGTACGGTCACGGCAGGTGCCGGGCAGCTTCCCTGACCACTCATAGCAGGTACTGCACCGCATATCCCCATCCCTCAACGGATTAAACGTGCGACCGAATAGCATCGGACGCACGGAAATAAACAACAAAAGTACAATCCACGCCTTGATACCTCGGCATCATCGATGAAAAACCCAAAGATCGCTCCGATGAAGGACCATAACGCCAGTGAAGCACGCCACAACAGCAGTGTGTGGTCAGCCAGGGTGACGACAGCCCCTCGTCACAGGTCCGCCAGCTGAGCTGTGTCAGCCAGCTGCGGCCAGAGCCGCACCGTCCGCACCTCGCGCGCCTTCTCCAGCTGGCCGATGCGGTGGTACGAGTCGCCCAGGTTGTGGTAGAAGCGCTTGTCGTGCACGCCCGGCTCGTTCGTGTCGAGGCCCTGCTGCATGAGGAGCGCCGCCTCCTCGTGCCGGCCCTGCTGGCGCCGCACGAAGCCCAGGTGCACCTTGGCGTAACCGTTGTTGGGCCACAGCCGCAACACCTGCCGGCGGCGCCCAGGGATCCCGCTCAGTCCCACGCTCCGGCCGGACCGACCGCGCCGCAGCTTGACCCCAAGTCCACCACTCGGTGGGGAGGGACCAATGTCCGTCCGCTTGCCACCAGGCATATGAGCTTTATTGTGAATTTTGCTTTTATCCGTATCAGGAAACCGTTACTGCGCCTGGGCACATGAGAGCAATCTGCTTTTTACGTCATAGACCGTTTTCCGCCATTTCGGCGTCCACCTCCGACAACACATCACCGGAGAGGCCGCGACAAAAGTCGGCCAGCGCTGGCTGCCCGGCGGCCGGCGGAGCACGCGGCGACGACTCCGTATCGACCCGGGCCCGCCAGCGGCGCCCTCACCTCCTGCAGCACCTCCTCAGCGGCCGCCTCCTGGCCGTACGTCAGGAACACGGTGGCCAGGTGGTTGCGCAGCATGTAGTCGTCCGGGAACTTCTGAATGAGGCGCTGCTGGATGCGTGCCGCCTGGTCCATTTGGCCTGAGGCGGTGCGGGGGTAGGTCAGCGGCGGCCGATCGCTGGGCCGGGCCAGCACCGGAGCGGCCGTCGGCGGCTGACGGCCCGCAGCTCAGCCCGGCCGGCGGCAGGCAGGCAAGCCCCACCGGCCACCTCGCGACCCCCGGGTCGCTCTTGAACGAGCGCAGCGCCGTCACGGGGCGCACTGGCGTGAGGCGATGTATGGGGATGTTACTGGCCGGCACGGTACGAACATGTCTCGAACATCACGGCCGGTGTTCCTGCCACCGACACACGCTAACACCGCGCGCGCACACCGCACTCCGCGCTGGAGACCCCGCCACAGGTCATGAGCGCCTGCCCCACCCACTGGCTAACGCAGGCGGTCTCCCATGCGGCCACTCACCCCTGAACCTCATCTGCTGCACGCAAGTCTCGGCCACCTGGCGGAACAGCGCCAGCGGCAGCGGCTTCTCCACGTCCAGGTCCAGCACAGCCTTGAAGGCGCTGATGGCCTTGTCCAGCACGTTGTTGCTGCGCTCCTGCTGCGCCTGCGCATTGAGCGCGCGCGCGCGCCCCCAGAGAGCGCGCGGCGAGCGCGGCCGGCGCGACAGGATGGCGCCGAACGCGTTCAGGCCGGCGGCCGCGTCCTGTTCGCGTCGACGCAACGGTTGCCATGGAGACGGGGCGCGGCGGCCAGCCGTCCATGCGGGCAGCGACAGGCGGACGGAGAAGGGACGAGGGTGGCGTGGGAGTAAGCACCGCTACCGAACCACCGAAAACATCGACGCACCGGCTGTGTGGCAGTGTCGGGAGGGAGTATTTGTAACGGGAAGAACAGAACCGAAACCAGAATTAGATGCGGTGCGACAGGCACATGGCATGCGTTTCCTTCTAGGTCCCGAGCGGCATCCTCGCCCCACTTTGGCAATTTTCTCTGGCGCTGAACGCCTGGCCAAAGTCGGACGAGGAGGCGCGCGGGCCGGAAGAGTATCACAGGGTCAAACCTCAACAACAATCCACTCACCGAGGTCAAACCGCACATACGCCAGCAACAACACATGGGAAAGACATTGCTCGCGCCGCATTATTCGTTGCATACCATTCCTAGCAAAACCCATCAGGCTAGACTAGGGCCTGTTGCTAGTCAGCCCAAAACCAAAAGAACCATCTCCAAGCTCCAAACCAGCTCCGAACCAAAGCACTCACACCAAGCAGATGGGGCAAGCAGCTCCGAAATGCCTAGGGAAACCAAAGGGCTCAACTCTTTGGCTACATTTGAGAAGAAAAAGAAAAGAGTCGGGATATGAGGAAGAGCGGGAAAGGCACAAGTCTGCAGAGCCGATTATTCCTGGAGGCAGATAGCAGTAACAGTTACTGCTGGGTACAGCCACAGCCTTCTCGCAAAAGACGCAGACAAAACGGCAGCAAGACAGATTAACCGCGAATGCAAGCGAACGCAATCAAATGGGACAGACGACGCACGAAGAGAATCCATACGAGAAAGGAATGCAGCGGCACTCAAACATGTCAAGCAACGCAACGACTCATACGTACTTCAGATCCAAAGCTGCGATGCATAGGGTGGGCGTATAGAAGTGTGCAGTGGACGATGGGTTACAAGACCAAAACAATTTAGCCAGGACATCCGTCTCGACGCGATTTCACAAGCAACTAATGCCACGGCATGGTAACCACATGAGACTACCACGAACTGTCTTGCAGGTTAAATACCTCAATCAGATCTTAGTCTGCCTGGCGGTGGCTGGGTGCGCTAAAATTTAACGAGCCTGCTCCTCACTGGCCGAGTTTAAAATTGCAAGCCGGCGTCTGCTGCTTTGTATGTCCGCTTTGCCCATTTCCCCACCCATCCAGCCAGGCTTCAATTTTGCGCTACAAGCATCCATAAGTAAGGCGCTGGTGTTCACCAAGGGCCGGACTGTGTTCCGGAGCCTTCGGAACTCACAGCTTCATCCAGACAGGCCCACGAGACAGCCCCAAACATCGCGCTCGAGGCACCAGCGTGGGCGCACGTCGTCCGCATCTGGCCGTGCGACAGCGACGCAGCAGATTGCACTCAAACATGCCCAGAGAGCCTAGCGTCCGTGATGGGTCTGTGGGGCAGCATCGTCGCCGGCCCGCCCAATGCACGCGGTGCTGCTTCGTACCATCCTGATGCCCGATGCCACCAGCTTCTCAAACAGCCCAATCGATGCCCAATTCAACCCGGCTGGCGCGATAACGACTGAGCGGAGCAGCCGCCGCTGCCTGCCGTCACGACCGTGCCTGCTGCGCTGCTGCCTCGCGGCCGGAGCGGCGGCGCCCGGTCAGCGGGGCTGCCACCTACCGTCTGCAGCAGGGCGTCGGCGGCGTCCAGCTCGCCGCGAACCTCCCAGTCGTCGGCGCCTGTGATGTCGGCCTTGTCGTAGGACGCCTCGGCCGGCTCGGGCTCCTCGGGCGCGGCCGTCGGCGGCGCCGCCTGCCGGACAGAGCACGCCTCGGGTCCAGAGCCGCCCCGTCGGCCAGACGCGCGTCACAGGCGCGGACCACGCCGGCTGGCCGCCACTCCGGCCGTCCACCGCTGAACACCTCTCAACAGCAAGGCAATGGCAGGACCGTGTCCTGAGTTCAACAACACGCGCGCTGTAATCCGACAAGAGCAGAGGGCAATTGGTGAGGTCTACGTCCATACACTAGGTCTTGACACAAGGGCTACAGCTTATTCCAGTAGGTGACAAGTGACAGTAGGTGACCAGGTAACAAGACATCATACCAACAAGGCATCCCCAGCTGCTGGTATGTTAGTGCAAAATCAGCACGCGAACAAAACAAAATGCTCACCTTGTTAGGTTTTTTGGCATGCTTGTCAGTATCACGCTTTGAAGGCCGATCTACGTGTGCACTGGGCTTAGCACTTCCTTCAGACGACTTTTTCGCTGGCTTATCCGCCGGTTTCGGGCCGCCTGAGTCAGCTTTCCCCCTTTCCTGTTTCTTCGCAGGCTCCGAGTCTTTCCGAGCCTTCACTCCTTCATCTGCTTTGGGCTTTTCTACCGGTTTGACTTTGTCCTGCTTTTCTGCAGACTTTTTAGGAGACTCCGAGCTTTTCGGGGATCCACCTGACGGTTTCTCCGCTGGCTTACCCGACTGCACACGCTTGACCTCGGCTTCCTCGCTTGCCGTCGGCTGTCGTGCCGGTTTGTCCGCCGACGCTGGCTTGTCAGAGGAGCTCTCCTTCGCAGACTTTCCCGGGTGCGCCGCCTTGTCCGTCGGTTTACCAGCTGACGCCTCCTCCTTCGCTGCCTTCTTGGATTTTTTCTTCTTCTTGGGCTCTTCAGCAGTAGTTTCTTTCTTTGCTGGCTTTTCCCCCACCGGCTTCTCAGTAGGCTTCTCTTTTTTCGCTGGTTTTTCAGTGGGTGTTTCAATCCTTGCCGGCTTTTCTGTCGGCTTCTCTACCGGTTTCTCGGTAGGCGCCTTCTTCTGCGTCCCTGCATCCTTCGCTTTCTTGGTCGGCTGCTCAGCAGCTTTAGCTACCTCCTCTTTGTCGTGCTGCTTCGCCGCTTCTTTGGCTTTCTTCTCCTGCGTCGACTTCTGCTCATGCTTTGGCTGATCATGCGGGCGGGCCGGCTGCTCCGGCCGCTGTACTGGGTCTACTACTGGCACACGCGCACTCTCCACACTCTCGCCGGGCCGCGCGTCGGCCGGCTGCTGCTCCACTACAGGCTCCTCCACAACGGGAATAGCTACCTCCTCGTCCTCCACCTCTACCACCAGATCGTCGGCCCCCTCGAGCGGCGCCGCCGCCTCGGCAGTGACGCTCTCCGGCTCCGTCACGCCAGCAGCTGCGACCGCTGGCTCGGGGGTGTCGGCGGTGACGTCCGCCGACCCGGCCGCCTCGCCCGCCGCTGCCGTCCCTAGAAAGACACCCACTCAGTCCGCACGCTCGCCGCCTCCGCTCTTGGAACAACACCCACTCAGTCCGCACGTTTCCAGAATAGCGGGCACGCCGCGGAGCTATCTTTAGTTGAGATACATGGATTCCGAAGGTCTAGGAAGTCCATAAAATATTTGTATGTCCTTATCTAGAACGATGGATAGCGGCTACCGTTGCCTCAAACAAGAGCATTTATTTTTCTTTTGAAAAAACAACGGCATAATAAAAACGAATCCAACGCTGGTGGGGCTTTACAATTCGCACTCCAAAGCTTACCTGAGTCAGAGGCCGCTGCCTCGTCTTCGATTTCCTGAAATCGGAATAAAAATAGTAGTAAAAACAGTTTTAACTACGTTATGATAACTTTTGACGAAAGCGCTACATAGCTGATAGCTGATCAAGAATGTGAAATGGCAAGACATATGTGCAAACGCTATACACAAATACATGGACACATCACAACACGCGTGATGTTAGACCACCACCAGGGCCGTTCGCCGCGACCTGACCCGGCTGTTATTACCCCGTCACCGACGCATCGCCGACCGCCTCCAGTTGCACGAGCCTGGAGTCCTTATCCTGGCAATAACCCTGCTCCAATAAACCAAGTCCTGGTCAAACAACGTTATGTAGCTATCATTGGTTCTATTATGAAAACCAGTACCTACAAGTAGCTGTGCTGATGGCCGAGTTTTGACAATAGAACCAATGCTTGCTCGATAAGGTCGGTTAACCATCCTGGTACAATGAAGGTCGACTTTTGTCAGCACAAAAACACCAAACTGATGACAAAAAGGGGTATCAATGCCTTTCTTCCTTCTATCAACTTCCTCCAATCAACATATCCATTCAAGCTTTACCGACAGTCTTTGAAATATTAAGACACTGCTATCGAACAAACAAGGTCATGCAGAACAGTTTGTTACGGCTTGCTTGCATGTAGTGCGGTGTGACTGCACAATCATGCATCTGAGTCGGTAGGCCGCATAGAACTGCTCCCTGCGGACTCGATTCAAACACTCCCGGGGCATTTTCGTCGCGCAATGGAGCGTTGGGGGTCGGTAGAGCAAGTCCAGAGGGCCCCCGTGTGCAGGTGGGATCAGGCCCCCGTGTGCAGGTGGAGGGCCCCCGTGTGCAGGCGCAGTGGTGGGATCGGAGCCCCCCTCCGCACGCGCCAGTAAGCGCAAGCGGGACCCGGGGAGCTGACGTCTTGCCGCGTTAGCATATCATGCGGGAGAGGCCACGGCACGCCGCCACCAGGGGTCGCATCGCTGGAGGGTGTCACAGACACGGCGCCACAGCCACTACCCCGCCACCGACGGCAGCGCTGGTAGCACCACGCTGCAAGCTTCGCTACTCCGCCACCGTTGGTAGTGTCGCCACCAGCCCATCTTCACCACCCCGTCACCGCCGGTGGCGAGCTGGTGCCGCGGCACGCCGGACCGGCGGCCGGGTACCAGCTCTCGTTAGTCACCGTCGCGGCGCACGGCGGGCGCCCTGTTTACCTCGATCACCTCCTCGGACACGACCTCCTCGCGCACGGTGCCGTCTGGGTCCGTAATCTGCCGCAGCACCTGCCGCACGCGCACGCGGCGCTCCTCCAGCACGACATTGGGGTCACCGCCGGCGGCCGGCGCGTCCTGCAGCTGCTCGACGGCCGCATCGGCGCGCACGAACTGCTCGGAAATCACCGGCTCTGAGCCCTCCAGCTGGATGCCCGGTTCGGGCGCCTCCACGTACACCACCTGCTTCACCTCCTCCGGCGAGCCAGCCGCCCCCTGAGTGGAAGATGCACGGCTAGAGGCGGCCGCGAGCACAGCCCGGCTGGCGCACGGAGGCGTGCGAGGAGCCTCCGTGCGCGTCGCGGCTGGCTGGGTCGCGTGGGATAGTCACAGGCCATGCACAAGGTCAGACCGCGGCGAGAATAATGGACGGAACTTTGAAGGCTGTGTCGTGAAGCGACTGATCCGCCATGGAAGGCGCCACCTAAAAACACCCATTCAGGTCTGCAAACTGAAGCCGAGGTGCGGAAACCCAGCCCAAAATCCCCGGACAGAGCGCGAAAAGGCGACGGGAGGGCACACCGAGTGAATGTTTCGGCAAAAGCAGCAGACACCGCCCAACGCTACGGTGCGTAGCACTCTCGAGGCGATCCCAGTGCCCCGGCAGCTCGATTCCGAACGGCGCCGATCTAGAGGCGCGGCGGGGCCGGTATGCTGACCGTGTCCGAGTCTTGTGTGTCGTCCTGCGATGGAGCGACCTCTGGCTCTTGCTGCGCCGCCGCGCTGGCGGCATCCTCGCGCTGGCCCGCGGTCTCGGTGACGGTCAACACATTCAGCACGGTCTGCATGACGGGCACCACCTCCTCTATGGTGTGCACCACCTCCTCCATCACGACCACCGGCTGCTCGATCACCTCCACCACCGTCTGCAGCTCGACGTCCACGTTCATCACGGGCTGGTGCACCACCTGCGGCTGCACCTCCAGCTGCTGCTCCACCACCGGCTCCACCACCTCCTGGTGTTCCACCACCGGCTGCTGCACCGCCTGCTCCACCACGTTCACGTGGTGGATCTCGCGCTCCTCGACGTCGACCGTCACCGTGACGTCGGCCGCGGCGCCGCTGGGGGAGGGGGGCGCGGGGGCGGGTGGAGCGGACTTTACCTCCTGCGGCTGCTGACCGGCCGGCTGCTCGTCTCCCTGAAACGAGCCCCAACGAGCAGTCAGAATCCATGCACACGCGTAGGCACGCTACCTACCCCATCATCCCACCACTGCGCACTCGCATGATCAAACTCCTCACGCCATCACGTAACGTTCCAACTCAAACGTCAGGATGTCGCTAACTGACAGCAAACGCACAATGCTAGAACGAGGAGACACAGCAATCCACATATCATCTCAGACGCATCACCGTTTCAGCGACGGCAACCCAGGGCCGCAGGCGTCGCCCTGGCCCCACACAGGGGCCGTGCACTAGCATCAGACCGGGCGGCGGGCGGGCCGACCACACCATGCACCGGGGGCCGTCTCGCGCGGCAGTGTCCGGTGGTACTGGGTGCGGGGGGGGGGGGGCACAGGCTCGCCGCGGTGTGGCACCGCCTAGTCACAGACGGACATGCGGGCTGACGGGGCGAGCGGGGCCAGTCAGGGCGGCGGGCAGGGCAGGCCGGGCGGGCGGGCGGGGGCGGCGCGGTCGTGCCGGCGGCGCTGCTCGGTGCGGCGGGCGGCCGGCCGGCCGTCCCGGCGCGGCGCCGCTCCCACGCTGCGTGCACCTTGCCTGAGCGGCGGCAGCGGCGGTGGCGGCGGCGGCGCCCGGTGGCGGCGACTCCCCTGGCGAGGCGGCGCTCTGCGCGCGGGCGGGGCCCGACTCGGCGGCGTCGCCGGCCGCACGCGGGGCCAGCGCCCAGGGGACGTCGTGGGAGGGGTTGACGCTTCTCCGTCCGGGGGAGCGGGCGACCGCTGCTGGCCCGTGCTTAGACTCCCGCAGCTTCAGCCGGTCGGACTCAGGTGGCCGAGCCTGCCCCAGACTTCCGCGATGCATTTCGTCGTCGCCAAGATGGTGGGGGTCTTCCCCAGTGTCGGCTTCCAGCGTCCGACTGTACGTGAGCTGCTCGCGTGGATCAGCCCAAGAATGTTTGCCATCAGCTTGCGACGTACCACCGAGATCTGCGCCGCCGCTAAGCCGTTCTTTCCTATCATGCTCGGAGACAACATCGAAAAATGGTATGCTATGCACCTTTGAACCCAACAACCTCCCAATATCAATCACCACCTCTTCTTCAAAGTCATCTAACAGCTCCTCGGTAATAGCGCCCTGATTGACCAAAGCGGACTGAGCTCCCTCCAGGTTCTGTCTGGCACCACTGGCCAAGACGGCAACACCAGCCCACTCCCTCACAAACTCCAGCTCCTCCCTCCAGCCTGAGAGCCGCCGCGGCACGTCCTCCACGTTACCCAGCAGCAGCTGCGTCCGCATGTCCTCCACCTCGACGAAGAACTCGTCGAACAGCCCCTCCTCGGCCACGTCCTGCGCGCCGCCGTGCGCCAGCGTCTCCGTCGCCATGGCGACCAGAGCGTCCAGGTCGGTTGCCAGCGCTACCGGCACGACGTCGACCGCGGCCAGCCGGGCACTACCTCCGGCGGGGACTGTCGGGGACCGGTCTGGTGACAGCGGCTCCATAACGATACCGACGGCCGGCTTGGCCGGAGCCGCTTCTGCAGCCTCGTCGTCGACGTTACAAACGTCCAAGGCATCCTTTGGCGAAACGATGTCGTGCCACGAGTTGAAGTCAAGGGGGGAATCCTCGCCATCATCCACCCGTACCGTTGGACCAGGGACATCGTCTTCCCACTCCATATGACTGACAAAAGCTGGTCGATTGAGAGATGACGAATCAACGAAAACGAATCCTTCCTCATCGCCGGATGACCACATAAACTTATCGACCACAAATTCACCACCGGCGCCATCGTCCTGCAACACCGCATCATCAGCGAATGCAGCTGCCTCTAGTGGAGCAACTGGTGAATCTCGTGCATTAAAGAGATCAACAATAGTAAGTCCTCGTAACCAGGATCACGTTCAGATGTCAGAGCATCATGATGGAGCTCGCCGCCCTCTTCCGTTGCCCCCCGAAAAGCGTTGAGCCAATCAAGCGGAATATCATCGACAGCTTCCACGTCCGTGGAAGCAGCTCCATCTATGTGCTTGTCATACATGCCCATGGATGCTCCTCGTGAGCCGAAGTCGCTTAAGCCGGTGCTTGAAGCAGGGCACGAACTCTTCTGAGGTTTCCATTCCGGACACCAAGCGCAACTCGCCTTCCTCAACTTCCTTAGATCCGACGGCACCGGGATCGGCTAGCCAGCGAGGATCGTGCGATCCCTTGAATCCGATCAAATCATCCAGCACTAACCCCTCGCCATACACGTGGTCTGGCGGGGAAAAGCGTCCTAGCTGTACGTCCTCGTACACAAGCCACGCTAAGCAGCCACGGGTTGGTCTCTCTAACTCCACATGCGGGGAACGGGGAGCACTCTCTGAATATCCTCCGTCGTCTCCACTCGCCTGCGCTGTGGTCGACACTTGACCCTCTCTCCCACGCGCCCGGCCGTCCTCGGCAAGCGCTTCCCCATCGGCTGGCAGGTGACCGTGCGCGAGATTTGCTACCTTCGGCACGACGGCCAGGTGTCCTTGGTCCGGGTGGCGGTAGGTCTGCTCCGGTGTCACTCCGCGCAGCGTCCTTTCTCCCTACTGAGTCTTTCTTGGCCGAGGCAGCATCAGGCTCGGACTCTGCGCGGCTGCCGCCCGCATCGTCCTGCACCTCAGCTTCCACGCCGGCTTCCGCAGCGTGGTCAGAAGCCATCCTGGCGCCACCACAATCGGCACACGGATTCACTTCGCCAGCCGCCTCAGCGCCCTCACCGCCGCAGGACGCCACACCGATCTCCTGCGACTCCGTTCCGGCGCCTGGCCACGGTGTGGCGACCGGCTTCGCCCTGGCGTCACCCCCAGCTGCGGCGTTGCCGGCTCCCTCCGGCGGCGTGCCGGTCGCCGGCTCCTGCCGCCGCGCCGCAGCGCCAGCCGGCCCGGCCGGGCAGCGCTGCAGCCGGTACAGTGTCGGGTCGCCGCGCCGCTCCTCCAGATGCAGTGGCATCAGCCGCTTGGCCGCCTCCACCAGCCCCAGCGGCCAGGCCAGGAAGCGCTCCAGTCGCGACGGCCGGCACAGCTGGTGGCGGCGGTCGGCGGCGGCGCGCGGGCACAGCCGCAGCAGCCGGCGCAGCCAGCCGAGCACTGTGCGCCGGCCCGCCGAGCCGCACCCGTCGCCCGCCCCGCCCGCGGTCGCGGCGGCGGCCGACGCGCGCGGCTCGGGCCGGCCGCCGGCGCCGCTTACCTCTGACCCGGCGGCGGCGGCGGCGTGCCGGCCAGCCTCCTCGCCCGTCACCCACGCCTTCTCAGCGCGCATAGGCTGCTCCAGATACTCCAGCGCGAAATCCGGCTCGGCAGCCGCTGCCCTGCAAGTCCGAGGAGCACCGTCCAATCGGCGGCGTCCTCGCCCAAGCCGCCGCTGACAAACAGATCCCTCTCGTTGTGACCGTCGCCGCCCGCCGCCCGCTCAGGCTCCTCATCCGTCTCCGGCGGCGGCTGGCGCTCGCCCAGCTCGCGCAGCGCCGCGTCCAGGCGAGCGCGGTTCGCCTCGAGCGCGGCCAGGTTGGCGCGGTAGCGCGCCGACAGCCGCTCCTTGCCGCGCTCGCCATACGGCGCCGGTGTGCCGGCCAGGGCGGGGTCGGATAGGGGCGGGCGGGGGTCGGGCGGCCGCGGCGCCGCCGCCACCTCCTGCAAGGACAGACCACGGCCGTCACTCGGCCAGCAGGGAGCGCGCCGCACCGGCGGAGGGGCCGGTCATCGCGGCCCACATCCGTCGCCTCCCCCCTACCCCCACGTGTTACGCTTTACGCAATGTGCGTGCGTCAGTCAGCCGACAGCAGAGTAAAGCGCGGCACGGCCGGCGGGCCGGCGCCGCCGCGAGTCCGTACCGTGGCGTCGGCGGGCGGCGGCGGCACCGCCTCCTGCACCTTCTCCACCACGGGCGCGAACTGGGCCGCCGGCGCCGGTGCTTCCACTGCAACGGGGTGGGAGGCGTGACGAGGCGGGCCACCGCCGGCGTCCCACATATGGCATGAAGGACATCATCGCGTGTGTAGGCTTTAGGACTCTAACACTAAGGACGTCATACACCATGATAAGGTACGCTGATACTTAAAAGTTATTTCGTAATGTCGCACTACATGTGACATAGTGATGCATTTCACTTCGGGAACACTTGACCGTTTTCGATCCGTTTCCAACGCGCGGGTGTATCCATCCGAGATCTCACCATGCCGTATTCCCTGTGTCTGGACGTAGATGAGGCCGAGGAGCACCCCGACGCCGGCCAGCAGCACGAGGAAGACGATCACGGTGAGGCAGCCGCTGCCGCCCTCCGAGTGCTCCTTTACATCCTCTTCGCCCGTGCCGTCGTCGCTGACCGAGTCTGCCGAGCGCCGTCACAGGCTTACGGACCGCGCGCGGTGCAGATGGCGCGCCGCAGGCCAGCACGGCGCGCCATCGGCTTACCGGCTGCACACGGCGAGCGGCACGCAAGGGCGGGATAGCGACCGCCCGTTATCACGTGAAAGACACGACACTGGGGCAGCGTCGGGCACAGGCGGTCTCGCACAGCGAAGGCATTTTTCGTCTACGAGGATCACACGCGGCGGGCGGCCCCAGCAACTAGTAAACCGTTACCAGGAATCACGCGCTGAAATATATCGGTGAATCGGATATCACCACGTGCTGCAGGTGTTCACACAGGGGTTAAGTCCGCTCAGTTGCAAACCATGCAGGAAGTTTGCGATGGCAATTTAGTTGGCACGGCTCATAGGCGTGACAGCCGGGAGCCATCCCCTCCCCTGGTGAATCAGGCGCAAACTACGACTGTCGGGGCTTAATATAGTGACAACTGCCGCCTGGCAGAGCCTCCTCCCCGGGACCATGCCAATACTGCCGGCCACTTTACGAAGAGGACTCAGGCTTGAACGGTTCCAGTGAGCGCAGCCAGGTACTGCGGCAGTAACTCGAGCGTTGGTCGTACGTGGTTTTCATATTCCGAGGGGTGTGCGCACGTCGTGCGGCGTAATCGTACATCCCTCGCAATTTGAGAACCACACACGATTCGCGCATCATCGCTCAAGTCCGCACTGCATGGCCTACGCAAGTTTCGTCTTAGTCCGCCGTCGGTGACGTTGTGAAAACTCGTTGGCTACGTGTTGCGACGGATGCTGAAATTGTATTGGTGTCGAACGGCCTCTGAGCCAAAACACTCAAATTGGATATGTGCCACGGTTCTCCATTCATGCCAACGACATAATCCTCAGGGAGTGAGGAGCCAGAAGAGACAGAATCCTCAGACAGAAGGCCTTCAAACCCTGACGACGCAGTTGCAGCAGATAAAAAGCGCGTCGAGTTTAGCCCACTCCGCGCCGCGTGCGCGCAGCCCATCTCAGGGTCACTGCACCCCTTCACCAGCGCTATCTCCAGCCGTCCCGGTCGGGGCCCGAGCCGGCGCGCCGGGACGACCGTTCGTCTCAGCAGCGCCGGACCGGAACAGGCTGGCTCGCCGGCCGGTCGGCAGCCGGTCCAGCCGGAGGCGGGGAGACGCACCGGCCGCCGGCCGAGCCCGGTGAAAGGCCGCCGGCGCCTACCGCCGCGACGGCCACAGCCGGCGAAAGTGGACGGGTCAGATGCCGCCGCGCAGATTAAAACCGGATACCGCGTGACCTACCGCTCCCGCCAGTCAGCAGGCGTGGGTGACGTCACCGGGAGAGACGTCGCTTTGTCGCGCCGGCCTACGCATCACTGATGCAGTTGGTTCCTGACAAGGACGCGATAGCGCGCCCCTTCGTGACAACTTGAATCGCATAGCTCAGGCCCATGCTTCCGGTGTGAGGCGATCAAAACCTGCTGCCTTTTGGAAATAAGCACCTCTGACAACGCCGATATTTTTCCACGAAAAATTTATAAGCTGAGGCGCATTGAAATCCTAATTCGGAAAGCGCACAAACTGTTGTCTAAATATCAGAAAATGGGGATGTATTCTTTCCCAATGCAGGTGGTGGAATGGACTTGCATAGGTGTCTGTGACAAAATGTCAGACCTTCAACCAAACTAAAGGGTCATTGTTAAACCCAACCAGTCCCATGTGAAGAAAGATGACATGGCAAACAAGAATATACACAGGCACAACGTCCATTAGCTATCGACGGGAGGCAGCTCCTGAATCTACGTGCTCCTTGCCCTCCAGTGAAGATGTGGGTACTGCTGATATTTTATGCATACTGGATAACTGGTGGTTTTGAGGAGGAAAGCAGCATACCCTACAATCAGCATCCATCATACAGATTGGTCCTTCATACAGATCTGTGCACCATACCGATTGGTGTATCCTATGGACTGGCGACAGATCAGCATACAACACAAATCAGCCTGCTGTAAGACAGCTTGGCAACAGCAACAAATGGACAAATCCACAAAAACGGCTCTGCTATGGCTTATCAAACTGATGCACTGACCATGCAATAATGGTTCTGCTGATATGAAGCTGAATGATGAACTGTGGACAGTGCCCACAGTTCCTCAGAGCAGCAGACTGCATGTGTAGATCCTTCAGCTTTGCTATGCACAGTTAGGCATTGACAACAACTACAACTTAAAGCTGGGCACTTCTTTTCAAGTGGAACAGAGCCATGCATTTTGGGTTTATGTTCATAAACCATATCATGCAAACCAGGTTAACAATGTTCCTCTGCAAAATTTTAATCAACATCACATCTACCTGTCTATAAGGGGAATCATGCCTCAATTCAGGTAGTGATCTACTGACCCCCACACTGAGCCATCCATAAAAAATGTCAGTGAACACTCAATATCACAACCAAGACACAAACAGTCGGGAGTTAGCAGCCAGTGTGTGGAGAGGATAGGCACAGCAACACTACCGGCCCTCTGTCATGGTCACACAGGTGCTGTACCTGGCTCTACATAAAACTTGTCATCATCATGGGTGGTGGCATGGAAGGTCTCCTGCCAGGGTTCATCCCCAGATGCCCCAGGAGCCTCTCCTCGACCTGGTACGCATCACCAACTAGGTCAGCACAGGCTCGCAGCTCAGGTCTGGTGCCTGCTGTCACAACTGTCACTGTGGTTGATTGCAACTTGAACATCTGTTATTATAATCAGCTTTACATGACTGGAAAGGTCTGACCCATGACAATATCAATGAGGCAAACTTGTCACATTACAAGCCATGGCCTTCTGCGCAGTTGTGTGTGCATCTGTGATCCGTAAGTAAGTTTCTAAACCAACAAAACATTTGCTGAGATGCAGCTTGCTCCGTAAAATAGCTAAGTAACTGATTATCTGGGTACTTTGCATGACATAACATACTATTTGGGTTCAGTGATAGTTACTTCACAAAAACAAGCATATATTACATACCAAACCTGATGTGACCTAGCAAGCCTAATTTTTAACATTTAATTTGCAATGGCTTATACATATTTAGTGACTAAAATAGCTCTTATGCTGGTATTCATTACTACTTTGATCCATTCCTGCTAAATAAACACATGTCAAACATGTCTGAAAAGAAGCAGCATCACAACAATTTCAGCATACATACATCTCAGACTGACACCTCAGAAGTTTGGCACATGCAAAAATATTGATTGTGTACTATCCTATATCTGGTGCACCATATCCCTGGTCTGGCACACTATGTACACAATACACCTGGTTATGCTGCAAATAGCACTCAGCACTCATGTTTGTACAGCTTTGTTCAAAGTTAATAATTTCCAATGTACAGTACCACATAGTTCATTGCCGACAAGTGTCTGGAGCCCCCCAAAAATCCTAGGACCTTAGTCCCAGATCCCATGAGCACAGATCCCAATGGGTTCCTGGACTTGGGATCTAGGCACAAGTGTGGTTCCTTGTACAGTTGTGAAGAAGATGCACCACAACAATGGTAGACAAGAGGACATGTGGCAAGACTGATCATCTGGAGCATCTTGCATCATACACTCCATCCCTAACTGATGAAATGTAGCAACACGCACATGACATTAGCTGTGGAGAAGCATGCTGATGTCAGCATAACACTAATATTTTTAACACATTTTCCAGAAATGTGTTTCTTATATCATTTGTTTCATTTTTTTAGATATCAACAATTGGCTTCCTTCTGACAGCAATGCAGTGGAAAAATCATTCACAACTACCACTTACCCCTCTTCTTCTTCTTGTCCTTGCGCCGTCTGGCTTGTGTTTCACCCGACATATTGCACCAGTGAAGGATTTCACGTCCCGATTAGGTACGTGCTTCAATAGCTACCACGTGAAGTGTAGATTGTTACAGGCAAGGTATCTGCGTGGTGCGCTCCCACGATTACCACAAATCACCGGCCGGTACCTAAAATTCAGACACAAACCACCCGAACAAGATCACAATTCCACCAAATAGTAAGACCTTCCTGTTACCCGCCACACACAAAACCGAAACACAACCCAGCCGCACTCGGCCCTACCCAGTTGCACCCCCCAGGTAAGCCGGCGAGACCTCTTCTTCAACCCCTCCCCTACCCCCACGTCGACGTGGAAGAAGACTCTCCGGTGATGCTACCGCGTTGGAAAGGAACTCCGCCACGGGCAAAAAGGGCATGCGTGGCCTTGAATATCACTAGAATGTTAAAAATTATGGCTTGAGACAAAGATACATTATCCTAATATTGCAATTAAAGGGCTGCTTATCAATAAACAAAAAATTCAAACAAACCCAGGTTGTTTATTTAAAAACACACGTTTTCATATAAGTAAACATAGAGTGGCGCAAGGAAACGGAGAACACTAACCGGAGGCACTTAAATGACTGTCTAAAAAGAGAGCGATTACAAAGCATGTTCCCCAATAATCTTTTTTCAAACGAAATGGAATGGACAGCCTAGAAGCATCAAGCATGGAGCAGGTGCGTATCCAGGATCTTTGTCAGTTGATCCAAATGTCCAAAGAGACATTATGGCTTTGCAGGAGTATTGTTCAAATTTTCTCTGTGGTTTTGTAGATCGCCCGGAGGGCAGGTGGGAATAAAAGCGTGTAGTGGGTACGTAAAGCAGTCATCTTCGTTCATCAAAACGTGTGTTGTTGCTTCCCGGTGTCGTTTGCTGTGTTGCCTTATTGATAGCATGATATTTGTAATGTCCTACATGAACTTGGGCTCCAGAACATTAGGGGGCCAAAGTCGCCGTTGAAGGGGAGGGGGCAGATTGAACATAGGTGGGCTTTTATCACAGAGGGCTGTGATAAAATCATTTGAAGTGTTGAGATGCGAAAAATTGTTATGTATGGTTCAGTAGCTTTACAAACCATGTTTTTTCTGTTTCACTAAAGCAGACACACTCCTTCATGTCGACGTCCTGCAGTCACCTGCACACCCGCCAGTGCCGTCCGCATGCCGAGGTGTCGACTCAAGGCCACCAGGCGAGGTTTTCCTTATCGCGCTGCAACAGCTTGGAACCGCCTGCCTGCGACCACTGCTAAGCCTTCATCTGTGAGGGGATTACAAATTCGCACTTCAAAACGTAAATGTTTGGTCTTGCGACTTGCTCTTGAGGTCATGCTGGTGATCTGTGTTACTGTGGGTCCATATGCATGAAATCGATGCTTGCCAATGCGGACCGCATGCATTTGTGACTCGTTTTGATTCATCTCTGGATGTGAATTTTGGGTTTGGCACATGTCTTGTTTCACATTAGCACGTTTATTGGTCGCTCGACTTCAAACGCATCCGACGCTCTTGTGCTGTCACGAACCAGACCTACCGAACGTTGTGACAAACCGAAGATCTGAGAAGTCACCTCATGGGTGGACTTTGTGCAGATGCAAATGCAACGTCAATTCCCAGCTGACAACGTTCACGCCTGCCAATCAATATCATATTGGATGATCTTTACTTAAGGCGTGATCTCTGGCCGCTTCCCCACATCTCTCAGTGGTGGCATCCACCGTTTGACAGACCTCGCGGAATGACCTGTCGCCTGAAGTTCCACATCTGGCTCCTACGCACCAACTGGCATCTGCAGCCGGAAGGCATTCAGATATCCTGGGAAGGCCCATCGTTTGTCGTTTGTGTAATGAAAGATGAGGCTGAGTTCGGAGAAATGAACCTACGCATGTAGCCATTTCAAAAACAAATGGCTAGCGATCAATCATAGGCACGCGACGATCTGGCATCGGTGCTTCCGAGTATTGACGTGGCGTCAGTTTGCTTTACTTGGAACGATCCGCGGCGGTCAGGAAACTTAACCTTTTTCCCACAGCGTTGATTAGGACTGTCCACGCAGGAGGCCCAGCTGGTTAGAGCGCCTGCATTCGGTCCGCCCACTCGTGCCGGGTGTGATCAAGTCGGTTTAGGCGCTCACTGTTTGCCCTTGGCCGGGATGGCCTGCGGCTGGTACCAGCGAGCGCGTTAAAGATCAGGTGACGTCGGAGGCCAGGACAGCCGGTGCCGGGAATTGCAACGCTTTAGACTTTTGCCGTAATATTGCGCTGTCGACGCAGAATTTCTTGCTCGGATGTTGCGGTTCAGGGATCTCGCAGTGTGTCCTGCTTAGCGTTAGGAATAATCCCAGAAATCAGTTCAATCAGAAATTTCTACCTAAATCTTCGAAACTAAAACATATACCTCAGTGGCTCCCTCGGTGGGTCAGCTGGTTACACGGAGTTCAGCCGAGTCTCGAACTTACCCCGATCGGCGGTTCTCAAATCCCATCTTTGCAACCGAGCTTCTAGAACGGCTCCATCCCGGGAGTTGGGTCACACTGGGGAAAAGTCACTGTGAAATGGTCACTTAAAAAAGGAAATGGCCATTGCGACCGTCAGTGACAGCTCAAGTAAAGCACTGCCTAAGCTGTGGGCTCGTGAGACTCAGGTCAAAAGCAGGTGTCTCGTCCAAGGGTAACGTTGCATGCGTCTGTGCCCCAGTGTTTAAGAGGCACAGCGATTCACCGCGAATAAAGTGTTCACAGAATTGTCCACGAGTTTATGTGGTTATTACAGGTACAGCGTATTATCACCTACATTCATAAAGGGTGTGGTTAACTGCAACACCAAATGGTTGATCCCTGTCACGCAGAACACACTTCCAGGTGCCAAGTACGCAGAAGACACGGCGATGAATCGATGATTGAAATTGACTCGAGCTGCCGCGGTCTGGAGAGCGGTGTCGAGTACCAGGCGATGTGCAGGCATGCTGTGGTGAATAGCTAAACGAACATCATCCGGTGCACAACTGTGTTCGACGGCTCATATTCACGGAACACTGAATAGCCCTTTATCGTCTTATGAGCATTCGGTTACAGTTTCGTCTCTTGCGGACATATCATACGGAGAGTGTGTGGGGGGGGGGGGGGGGCGCAGCTAATGCTTATCGTGCTGCCGCACTAAAAGTACTTGTGAATGGGCGTGTTAAAGGTACGTTCTCGCGTAAACATATCTTTCATAAATAAAACGACATAAAAGCATCGTCCTCACAACCTGCGACAACTTTCAGCATTAGCCGAACTCGGGGCTATTGTTGCATTTTGTGTGCCATACCCAACCAAGGAAGGTTAAGCCCTTGGCTGCACCAAAGGGCTACCGCCCTCAGACGCTGAGATAGGTCCGGGCGGACTCTGCTTCCCAGGACGCCCCGTTTTGCACGGGGATGCCGCTGGAGTAAAGAAGTAGTGGGCCCGGAGGCGGAGATGGGGAGACGGTAGCGGTGGAAGACCCACCACTTGGCATGCCTCGAGAGGCCTGTTGGATATCCCACCCGCCTTCTGGGAGGTGGGATAGCCTCTCCCGTGGGAGCAGCTCAGTATCTGACTGCCGGTTGGTTGCCCTGACTCTCTCCCTGCTCCAACAGGCACACTCTTGGCCTCGCAGCCACGTCTCTCAGCTTTATGGCCCTCCAGGTTGTCCGGTGTCAATCCCATGGCGTCATTGAGGGCTGTCGGCACTAAAGCCCCTGGTAATGGCGGCCGAGAGCAGGGGCCCGCATCGCACCGTCACAGACCGCGTGGTCCTGCCCCGGCGGACCGCGGTCATTCACTGCCTCCCGCCAGCGAGGACTGAGGCGGCGACGCAGCGGCTGGCGAGCCGATCGGCACCTCAGAGGGGGCACGAGGTGCCAACCGGACGGGCGAAGATAGCGTCGCCGATGTGGAGGCTGACGTCTGAGACGTCAACACAACCGAGGGGCCGACCGACGAGAGGAGCCGAAACCAGGTGCGCTGCAGTCATCTGATCCGACCAAATTTAGTTTGCGACATGGGCCCTAACTGTTGTGCCACACGGTACCTTGGGGTGGCTTACTTCACATAAGTTCCTCGCATCACAAAATGGCAGGTTCTTTGTAGTTTTCATGGCTATAATTCCTTTCTCTAGCGTACGCCGGGCAGGTACGATCAAAAGTTGTGTGAGGTGTTTGGTTTTTACCATAATTTGCCCACCATGGCTTGTCCACAGTGCCAAGATCGCTCGCGTGCACCCGCGGAGCACGCTTACCACAGCCTGGCTGGTTACGACAGGAGTCTCTTGCGTGACCGGGCATCTGGCACTTCGAACACCCCATCGGGCTCCGAGTAAAAAGGCACACTTTCACTTGCACATAACCCACCCTGACATCAGATCGTAAGTCAAGACAATTAAAAGTGAGAGTCATGTTGCTCACTGGAACAATACCAGTGCCCATGCACACCTTTGAAGCAGCGAGCATGCAGTATATATATATATATATATATATATATATATATATATATATATATATATATAGCGAGAATAAGCAGCGAGCAATAAGTTCGTCATCGCCGACATCTTTCAGGCTGAAACACTTTTCGACGTGTTTTGCTCCGTGGATTTCTACACTCATCATCGGGTAAGACACGTCCCTCTTACCGGTCGAATTCCCAGCACAGTGCACAAATCAGTCCGTGGTCATATCCCGCGTCGCATCTTTCTCCGTTCCCAAACTTTGCATCGGTCCTATCTTCTCTGAGCTTATCACAACGGTGAACGTTTCCAAACCTATCACAGCCTCTGAAACGGCAAAAGGGATTACAGCGCCATCTCGGAGCCTTGAAAGCTTAGAGTCCGAAGGGTAGGCGCTGGCGCACCACCACCTGCCACGACCTCGTTCCGTCCCCATTTAGGGGTACAGATGCTTTGTGTTGCAAGGGTCGATCATCGTGCTCGTCGTGCTCCACGGTGCGCATCGGTTCGCACTTCATCCTGTAATGTCGCCCGCTCATTTCTGCGTCACATTGTGTTGATCCTGTTTCGTTGTAACACTCTGTTGCCAAACTGCGATCCGATTTTCGGCACTCGTTTCGGTGTTTTTTTGTCAACTTAAAAATGTTGCATTTCTCGTTTTAAGCCAATAGGGCACGTTTGCACGCGCCGACAGCACCCCGCCGGTCGATGCAATCACGAAGCGATTGCAGTGGTCCACCCCTGCTGGCCTATCCGCACACCACATTTCGCATTTCCAGGTGGCACTGTCGTCGTGTCGCGAATACATTTACGGCTGACAACTGTCCTAATCGAAGACTTAAAATTAGCAT